TATGTCTTCAGGATAAGATGTGGAACCACAAACATGGTGCTTACAGCTTACCAACTCAATGAGAAATTCCAGAAACAGAACTCCAAATTGTCCACGATTTTCGTCAACCTTATAAAAGCCGTTGACACAGTTGGTCATGTCGGCGTTTGGAAGATCTTTCCAAGTTGCGTTACCTAGAGACAGTTGGCAGTTTCATGATTGCTCTTGTCGTGGATGGTGATGAGTTACCTTAATTATTTCCAGTCACCAACGGAATCCAGAAATTCAGCATGCTAGTTCCGACCCTCGTTAGTAGGAGTAAATGTATCCTGACATGCGTTCTGATGCCACAGGGATCGATATCATATATCGGACTGATTTCAAGCTCTCAAATCTGAGGAGACTTCAAGCCAAAACAAAGTTACAGGAAGCGAATGTTTGTGATCTCACTGATAATTGTGTCCTGAATGCCAAATAAATCTGACATATAAAAAAGATTGGTCCATTCCTCTACAGCCTGTGATAATTTCTGTCTCACATTCAGAATTACGCGACAGAGTACCACCCCACTGAATGACCAAACCCTCTAGGCAGTGGAAAGGTTTAGATACTCCGACAGTTCACTGTTACGTTCATTCTATATTGATGACGAAACCAAAGTCAGAATTTCTAAATCAAGTTTGGCCCTTCCTAAATTACTAGCAAATTGTTGATGTCATCCATCTTGTTAATGAATTCTTCATAGTTATTTTATATTCTTCTATAAGTGTGAAACACTATTAGGAACAACTGTGAGCCTAATAATGTCTTTCTCATCGTTTAACTCTTTAGTGCAACTATTGTGATTGCAATATTATATAATTTTCTACAGATTTCTCGTTTCCTCCATCGTACTTTCTAAGACTGATATTTGTGTTTGATTTGTTCTAACAGTTCATAATCTTACAGTAATTATTATCCTGGTAAAAAATCTTTGACATCTAATATATTTTTCTTGTTTTAAAATGGTTTTTATTTCTTTTCGCAGTTTTCAGAGCTTAGCAGAAATTCGTCGCATACATTGGTGCACATCTATTTATTAATTTCTTCTCTCCATGTTTTCTTTTCCACAAATATCTTAGATATTTTACTGTCAGCACATTTTTATATACAATCCGTATTAGCTGCATCATATTTTTGTATAGAAACTGCAATATTTATTTGTCTAAGTTTAAAAAAAATTATTTTTTGACTGAGTTCTTTATATTTTTAATCTTTGTTTTAATGAATTTTAAACTAAGTCCCTATATCTCCATTGAATAATAAATTAGATTGCACATTTTTGCATTATTGTCATATTCAAAACACATAAATGTATATTGTATTTCAAATTATCATTTTGTATTTGTTTTTCTACACATCTTTAACATTCTTTTCAGTGCAAATACATCAGACGACTTTTTACTGGATAGGTAAAGAGTGATTTCTTCTGTTTACCTTTATGTTTGTAATTAACATGAAATGTGTGTATTAATTTGCCTTATATATTCTAAAAGCATATAAAACTGGCATAACATTGAAGGTACTGCTTTCAAATCTTCATCTTTAATGCTAATCTTTAGTGTGTTTATATTGTCTCTTTGTAATCGATTACATGGGCTATATATATATATGATCAGAAGATATATGTACAGATCGCACATTACCAAATCCACGGAAAAAAATAGTTATATAGTAAAATATAATATCGGAGATGGAAGTGGGGTGTTTTGCTTTGTTTTCTTTAATCATTTGAAATATTGAAATGACCAATTGCAACACATATTCTATGTAATGAAATGTTATTATCCGCCAGCTCTATTATTAATTTGATCTGAAGAATACATTTCATTCTCAGATTCTTCTTGCACTGTAAAACTAGGCATATGCTTTGTGGGTAGTATTCCATTTAAGTATCGAGAGCAGAAGCCTACCAGTCTGGGAGAAGTATTGCAGCTTCAGTCCCAAACAAGGGCAATCTTTATGCATTCTTAATGCAGTCCTGACGTTCCATCCCCGGTTCTTCGAACCAGTTTTTTATTTTGAGTATCTATTAGATTGAAATCACTGTGAATTCCGTTCATTATTTGCTTATTGTTTCATTTAATATTTCATCAACATTATTTAACTTTGTTATAGCAGAGGTTACGATCTTATTATGTTCAAACTTTTATCATATTCGAGTTCAGCCTTCAAATCATTTGCAATAAACCCTAGCAAAAATGCACCAAACCCTGCAAGAACCAAGGGATTATTAACTTCCGTTATACCCACAATTCCTATATCAGTAGCCATTTCACCGGAAGCACACGCCTTACCAACCTCTGCAAAACTAAAAAATACATATATGCTTTATTATGCTTTTACTCGTAGACATCTATAAGGCTCTATCCATTTAAATGATTCACCCATAACTTCAATCATTTTCATCAGCCCAAACCTATTTATATGATCGTTAAAAAATACAGCTCTCATTTCAATACCTAAATGCTTTATTGTTTCGTCTGATAGTATGTCTTGCCCTATTTATAGTAACACGTTATAGTGACACCTCTTCAGACGCAATATACTGTAAGATCGGGTTTATTCAGCAACGGTAGCTCATTGTGAATCCTAATGAAGCAGTCCTAGCGAAGCGCTGGTCTGACGTCAAGTGCAAATTGTATTGTTCTCAGTAAACATATTTTTTTGGTCTGCTTTTCTTTTCTTAAATTTTGCAAAAAGGAAGTTCCAGGTTTTATTTTCAAGTTCAACTCTACGAAGATGTAAAAAAAAAAAACTTTTTAATGTTGCCTTCCATGGTTGTTTAGGAGCCTTTTAATTCAGTTTTCCTTTCAATAACTCTTTCACTTTCTTCTTATTTTGTAAGAAAAGTATAGATTGTCTAAAATGTTATTAAAGCTATTTTAATGTTTAATTATTTCCAACTTTTTTAATAAGCAATATTTTATTTACAAACATGTGAAAATTTCCAATATAACTATATCCTGGTTTTCTAAACTTTGGTCAATTTGCTTTCCTTTTCTAAATTGATGTTCTTAAAAGACATCAACCTAGCACTTGTTGCCAACATGTACAGCCCAAACCTAAACGATGAAAACCTGTTAAGTCTCTAATTCCATTTGTTGTTAAGTATTCTTCTTTCGACTCTTTCTGTAATTAGTTTTCGTTATAAGCTGGAATAAATTTACTTATCAAGAATGTTATTCCTACTATTATTGAATTGGACTATGACTTTGACATTTAAGGTGATTGCCAGCAGTTACAAATATTTCATATGTTTGGTTAATTTTAATTTATTTTATCCAACACTTTATAGGTTAAGTGTTACATAAGTCTTTGCCAGTTTTTTATATGTATGTCGTTCATTTTGCTAATTTTTATTTCTTGTTTCGAAGACTTCTCTTATTCGTCATGAGCAATCTTCAAGATTGATTCTTTATCCAATTGTTTTCTTTCTTGTTCAAAGAATACATTATAGTGACGTGTGTTTAATTTTACTTGGTTGAGAAACCTACTAAGGAATCCAATAATATTTATGATAACGACCCTGCAAGAAATGCTATTTCTGAGACTATATTGGTTCTAGCTGAGCTAAATGTTAATGGTCAGCTATGCAAAGACGATATCAAAGGTAATTTTAAGTCAAGTGTAAAATAGTGTACATTTCATAAACATTACTTTAAAATTCTAAATTAAATTACATTGTGTTACGAAGAATACGCTAAACGTGATGAACTTTCTAAGATTGGAAATGCCGAATAGAAATGGAAATTTTCACAATCCACACAAACAAAACTTAGTACCACTTAAATAAATGGGTAGTAAAAGAAGGAACTCATCGGCTAGAAATTAATACAAAAATAAATTACTAATGCAGAGGAGATTCTACCAACTTTAATTACTATGATTAAAGATGCTATAGTCCGGAAAACAGATACAGTTGCTGAAACTAGTATATTTAGCTGTTACATCAGAAATATATAAGAATTTAAATATGAAAAAAATGATTTCGAGAATCATATGGAAACACTAAATGAAACTACATTAGAACATCAGCAGCAGAATTCCTGGTATCATTAGCAGTGTAATAAGCCAGCTGTTAATTTAAGATAGAAGATTTCTTTGTTTAAACATCGATAATATCGATTTGTTAATTATTGCAAAACCATAATTGTTCTTTACAAGTGTGCTTAAACATTTATTTTAAGTAACATAAAGGGTTAAATATTAATATATTTCATAAAGTAAATAGCACAAACTCCAGCAAATATATACATAAAAATAAAACGTTTCTTTTTCTTCATTTGTTTCATGCTGTATAACACCAGGCTAGTTTGTATGGTTCTAATTGCATTACATCATATTGTCTATACGAGTCTTCTTACTCTTATCCTTTGATGTCTGTCTCTTGACGCATTGTTACGAGTGGATTATCATGTTATGCTGACTTAGTCTTTTTGGCGTCAGAATTTACATATTTACTTTCAAATACGAAAACTACTGCCTGAACGTAACATTCCGTTACCTGATGATCCATCTTTTAATCCAACTGACATTAATCAGGATCTAAAACAATTTAACACAATTTGTAATATACTAATTGTAATGCCTAGTCTTATAATTACTGTATGTATACTGATGGAAAATACATAGCTAATTGATAGACCTGTAGAAATTCTTATTATACAATGAGGTTTTTCGGGGTGGGGGTGGGAGGGGAGGAGAGGCCAGCACCAGATGATGCAGAAGGCACATCCAAAATACATCATAATTGTGGAACTGGATTAGTTGAACACTCGCAGAAATGCGTCCTAAAAAAAAGAAATTCATTATTCTCGGGTAATGAACAAATATGATGAACTAATTGTTTCCAATAAAAAAAACAATAAAAAAACAGCAAAGTGTAAGGAAGAAGTACGTGATGAGTGTTTCAGGTGGTCAAGCAGAAATTAGAACATCTATTACACATTCTGTATTGACTGTAAAAAAGACGGTTAACCGCTCCGGTGGCCTAGTGGTTAGATCGTCCGCCTCGGATGCGAGAGGTCATGGGTTCGATCCCCAGTCGAGTCATACCAAAGACTTACAAAAATAGTGCTCACAGCTGCCTGGCTTGATGCTCAGCATTAGGAGGTTAGTGTTAGGACTGGTCAGCCTGGTGTCAGGATAATGTGACTGGGTGGAACATCATGTTACATGTCTTCGGCATAATGCCCCAGTGCTAGACATCACTATAAACTGCCACACTGCAGACATCGTAGCGATATGACTGAAAAAATATTAAAAGCTACGTTAACAATTATAAACACCACACCAAAAGACGGTTAATAGGTTAATCAAAAATATAAGTTTAGGCCACCATGGATACGAATCTGATGAAAATATTACAATAATATTGTTGATAATAAAAAGTTAGGTTGGAATATTTTTTATTTAAGGTAATATGGTGATGAAACTAGGTACAACCATATTTTGCAATTTATTAAAACCATCTCATATTTATTTTGGATATTGATGCTAATGTAAATGACGATGTTGCAAATATTCGAATAAATGAATCTAAATTAAACGAGAATTGTTGTCAACCAGTAACATGTAATTGAGATAAAGTTCACAAGTTCAAAGTAGGAAACGTTATGTTTAGATATATATAGATAAACATATCGTCTAGCTTTTCTCATGAAAGAAGCAATGAAGAGTTTATATTATTTTAGTAGAAGCAAACGAAATTAGTAATGATTTTGCGTTGCTGTTGCATATCTGTATTAGTAAATTTACTATAACAATCATGTCACCATATCTTTTGTAATTTAATGCAGGCTTGCCTTGCTTATTATTTACTTAGCTTCCATGCCTGATCCTCCATTTTGAGACATTACCGAGCCCAAGTAGGTACATGTTTTTACCCATTCACAAGCCATTGTTCTGCTGCTCGGAGATCAGTATTGATAATTTATTTGCATTTTTTTTCATCATCTTTGTCTTATTTTAATTCTGTTTCGATTCTGTTCTAGTATAGTTTATGCGTCTTTTGCTTTATATCATCCTAGTTTGTCTTTTTTACAGGAGGGCACCTCATCTGCAAAATCGACGTCGTTAAGAATTCTTCTCCCCATCCAATTCAACCCTCTATTTTCCATTCTTACCGTTTTCTTCTTACCCAAAACTGTCACTAGCAGAAAATGGAAGCATGACATACATTCATGCATAAACCCAGCTTTTATCCTCAACCAATCAGACAGCTTTTATCCTCAACCAGACAGCTTTTTTCCTCAACCAATCAGACAGCTTTTATCCTCAACCAATCAGACAGCTTTTTTCCTCAACCAATCAGACAGCTTTTATCCTCAACCAATCAGACAACTTTTTTCCTCAACCAATCAGACAGCTTTTTTCCTCAACCAATCAGATCGTTTCCCATTTTCTGATGCACAATATTATGCAGATTCATGAAACGTTTCGTAAAAAGTTTTGATGGTTGACAACATTTTCTAGAATTCCATAATACCTTAATATTTTCCAGGCTGATGATCAGTAGAAGCTGTTTTGTCGAAATCGAAGTAATATATAAGCTGCTTAGGTATTCATTGATGTGTTCTATTGTAATTCTGAAAATAAATAACTATTTAGTGTGATTTCTGTCTCTTCCAAATCCTCCTTGTTCCTCCCTCAGCATGTTTCCAGTCATTAATTAATCTGCATAAGATGATCATTACCGAGATAATTGTTTTCATGGTGACTTTATTTCTTGCCATCTCGATGGAGATTACAAGCAATTACAAAGAAGTAATACAAATAGATTAAATATAAACATTAAAGATGAAGATGAAAAAGTAATATATTTCCATGGAATGGTTTGACGTATTGTTCTCGCGTTAATTTAATAGACTAATAACTGGAAAAATATTGTTAATATATCCTATTGATTTTTGAGAGACAAGTAAATAAGTTAAAGTAGAGAAGAGCAAGCGAGAGTGGGAAAAGCTAATTGCTATATCAATAAATAAATAGTCAACTATAACTATGATCTTACTATAACTTGTAAGTGACCATATACAATTAACTGAAGCGTCTCATCGCATGTTTGTATCAAATGGTATCTTCACGTATATGTAAGACTTGAGAGAATATTGGTTTAAGCTTCTTAAAAACATGGCTGGGAAACAATATATTAACAACTGTTGCTCGTGAAATCGAAGAAACAAGTGGACCAGGAGTTGTGGTTGAAAATGATAAAACATTTAGCACATGATCGTGTCAAAATGAAAGCTGCAGTGAATGCTCTATACTCCATAGAGGACGAAGAGGAATAATAATAATAATAATAATAATAATAATAATAATAATAATAATAATAATAATAATAATAATAATAATAGTAATAATGTTTATTTGTTATATAGGCCACAGGCCCATGATACATATCCATACATCACGCGGAGCGAAAAGATGTTATTGTGTGTAACAAAAGAACATAGTATTTATAAGAAGTAATATACATGAAAGTAGTAATAATTGCTTTGTATGAGATATGTAATACACAAGTATATACTGCACAGTAATCAAGCAAACGGATTTAAGGGTAACCCTAAAACTTATGTGGATCAATTTTATAATAATAATAATAATAATAATAATAATAATAATAATAATAATAATAATAATAATAATAATAATAATAATAATAATAATAATTTTGTACATATTTAAGATTTTACTTTTAATTATAACTAAATAGTCTTTGTTGTGCAGAGGCAGATTGTTGTTGTTGTTCCAGGGTATAATGCCATTTTTCAGCACAAGATAGGCTATACATGACGGTCGGTATAAAAGGTGGGAGATGAACACGGAAAACCCCGGAAATAATCACATACCCACGATTAGTTACTGGCAAGCTTTCTCACATACCAAAATTGGCCGAGCCAGAGACTTGAACCAACGCAGACCGGTGAGATGGCAGTAATCCGTGATTATGTGATGTGATGTGATTATGATTTTTAACGTAGCTTTAACAATTTTTCAGTTATATCGCTACGATGTCTTCAGTGTGGCAGTTTATAGTGATGTCTTGCACTGGGGCATCATTCCGCAAACATGTAGCATGCTGTCCCACTCAGTCACATTATCCTGACACCAGGCCGATCAGTCATAATACTAACCTCTTATTGCCGAGCGTCACGCGAGGCAGCTGTTAGTACCATTTTGTGTAAGACTTTGATATGACTTGACCGCGGATAGAACCCATGACCTCTCGCATCTAAGACGGACGCTCTAACCACTAATCACAGTCATCTGAAACAACTGCAATAAAACAGAAATATAACTATTTCGACATGTTGGTCGTATTAGAGCATGGAGAAAATAACATCTAATACTAAGAATTTTAAACCTTTAAGGTCAAAAGCCATAAAATAGTATTCATTGTAGATGATTCGGCATTATCTCTCACTGATTTGTTTTCGAACAAAAACATAATGTTCAAGGTCAACTTCCACTCAGTTGCATCTAACGTACTTGTTAAGTACGGACATGAATATTTCTATGGACAGAATATATCCCACGTCATATCATGTCCACAGTTCATGTTATTAACAATGATGTATGCATACCAAGCTGGATTAACGCCAGATAATGTAAATGTCAGTAAAAACAGAGTTGCCTTTAGCTTGGATAGGAAGCCATTACTCTCCATTGTGACACGTTTGGCTGTAGGGGACTGTATCATTCGGCAAAAGCCTCGCTTTATTTCATGCAGCAGGACAAACTATATAGGGGTCTGTACTACGATCTTTCAATCATTCACACGGTAACTTGAATTTTCGCTTGAACTAATGAATTTATGGGGGAAAGACAGCAACACACAAAGAAGATAACATAATAGCCATACGTTTCACAGCCTGTTTGAGCAATGGAGACCATGTCGAATAGAAATGGATGGGTACAGTGTGTTAACAGAAATGGCATGGTTTTAACTCTTTATGCTGCCATTGGTTTGTACTGTAGTTAATCCATAATGTATTGGTATCATCAGAAGCAAGAAAACAGTATTGTTTGATATCTTTTAAAGACTTTTATGTATTCTTTATATGAACATTTTATCTGACCAATATGAACAACTCCAATGTAATCAACTAGAATCTAAATCATAGGAACCAATATAAGCACATGTTAATATCTATTAAGACATCAGTTAGTGACCATCGGAAATAATATAAATATAAGTTTATATATGTAATGACATCGGTTTCTGACCATAAAATATAGTATAAAAACATGATATCTAATAAATTACTGACCATATAATACATTATAAACACATTTGATATAGGAAATGGCAATAGCTCCTGAACAGAACATACAGTTTACGCACATATCGATATACTGACCCATATAACACAGTATAAAAACATATTTCGTATATATACTGGGTTCAGTTACTGACCATTGGATGCAATATAAAAACACCCACACCACACCCACCCGCACCTACCCCCGATATATATATATATATAAGTAGTAATAGGGGACGATATAGCGACAATGGGAGTTATCATTAATAAATGACGATATACGATATAGCGACAAGATTTTTGGCGACAAATGAAACTGCGTGGGGTAATATAGCGACAAGGGGAATTTTGTATTAGCACACCCTGGGACTGTATAGCGACAAGAGAAATGGCCCAGGTGGCATGACGTCACGGTACTGGACACTTGTCAACAGTGTAGCAATGTGTAAGTACTGTGACGTCAAGCATTCGTCAAGTACTGTGACATCAAGCGTTCGTCGTGTTAGTGAATGTAGTGATATGTATGTTTTATAACTTATACAGGCAATTTGTTATGGAAAAGTATAATCTTTTCGAGGCATGGAAAGTGGCCCTGAAAAGGGCCTTTGTTTTCGTCTTCTTCTTTTTATTGTCTGCATTTCTTCCACCATTGTCTAAATTTCTCTAAAATTCCTCTCTTTTTCTTTTTTACTTCTTCCTCGTATGGCATCCAGTCTGGATGTCCCATATCTCTAAACTTTTTTTGTATCTTCATCCAATTTTCATTCAGTTTTTCAAAGTCTT